TGGTCCGCGAGACCCACAGGAAGTGTGTAATGACACCTCCTACAGCGCGCACGGAGCTCGCAGTTGTCGCTGCCCGGAGGAGGTGTGGACCGACCCTACTACACACACGCGCGCAGGAGCTTGGTCTCCGCACCCCGACAGGTGTGGAACCCACGATCTCTGGTACGTTCTGAGGTGGGCAGCAGCCTCTCCTGTCTTACGCCCAGGGCCCGCTGTCCCCGCTGCCCCTTGGAGCACCCTACAGCTCCGCCTAAACGCTAGGAGCAGACCTCCTTACAAGACCGTGCTCCATGACAGGTGTGTGGCACCTGTTTTAAAGCACTGAGTAGTCACCTTTATACCCAGGCATGTGCACGAACACATCTGACGGACAGACGTACAACCCACAGTCACCGCAGCCTGGTGGAAATTTCTAACTGCAATACACGCATCCTTTCCTTGGAAGGAGCGGGGCTGCTTAAAAACACCTATAACGCTCTAAGACCGGGAAAGCATACAATAAAACCACCTACTCGGCAGGGCACCAGAGGTAAGGCTGGACCTTCTACATGCCACCAAGTGCCCTCCACCCGTATTTTACCTAGCAAACACACTCAGAGCACTTACTGGGTTAACACCAAGTGCTTAGAGAATATTTATTTAATCCCAAGAACTCTATCAAGTGGGTGTTAGCATTGCCATTTAATGGATGGGGAAACTGAGGCACAGATAAATTAAGAAATCTGCCCAAGATCACATTGTAGCTGGAGGAACCCTGGTAGTCTGGCTGCAGAGTCCATGCTCTTAACGCCCTTTCTAATTACAGCACTGAACATCTCCAAAATAATAACATTTAGCGCATATCTGATTAGCCATATATGGGGCTCACATCTTGGCCTCATCCCAACTGTGACAGGGAAACTCCTACATTTGGGGTAGGTAGGTGAGAGAACATGACTGAGCCAGAAAGAGACTAACTTCTGAACAAAGGAGAAAGGATTCTTAACACCTGGCTCAGTCAACGTTCTTCCTGGTCTAGGCTGAATAAAAAAATCTTTGGGCCGGCACGGTGGCTCAGCTGGTTAAGAGCTCGCCTGGGAGCACCAGCTCTGAGCAGCAGGGTTGCGGTTTGGATCCCACACTGAGGGCCAGTGACGCTCGCCCTCTACAGCTAAGATGATGAACAACAGCTCAACCTGGAGCTGGGCTGCTGAGTCGCAGGCGACAGAGTAGGCTGCAGCCCCTGCTGCAGTGGGCTGCCGTGAACTACGTGAGTGGCTGGCAGCCAGTTTGAGCGGCTGGTAGCCGTTGTGAGCTACCGGAAGCCGCTGTGATAGGCCAACCAACGACCAGCGACCGATTGCCTCACCGGGGAAGAGCACAATGATCATACCAACATGGGCCAGTGAAGCGACGTCCTCCACAACTAGACTGAAGAACAAAACAGCAATTTGTCTACCTGTCTGTTCCCCTTCCCCGATTCCCCCCGATTCCCCAACGCTGTTACCCTCCCTCCAATTTCCCAATAAAATCTTAAAAAAAAAAAATCTGTGCAAACGTTTTTGACAAAATGATGTCTGTACAAAAACAGTTAATTGTTACATATTTCAAATATGTAATCCTGTGGAGAAATTGGAACCAAATGTACTGCTGGTAGAAATGTAAAATGGTGCAATCACTATGGAAAACAGTATAGAGGTTCCTCAAAAAACTAAAAATAGAATTACCATATAATCCAGAATATTTTCTGCTTTTTATTTCCCAAAGCTTTGAGAACATTTGGAGAATGCAGAGAAAGAGAAGTCTTTAGAAAACTTCAGTAGAAAAGGAGCTAGTTGGCAACATCTCACGTGACCAGGATCCTCAGGTGGACAGAAATGACTGGGAGATGCCAAGGGTGTTGTAAGGCTACCACCCCAAAAATGCTGTCTTGGCTTCATGGAGGGAGAGGTGAAGACTTCAAGTTCTATTCCAGGTCCATGTACTGTGAAGTTTTTGTTGGATAGGACTTGTTAATTTTGGCCTTGGGCTAGTCCTTCCAATCTCTGATTCTCTGTTTCCTCATTTGTAAAACACACATGAAATCCCCTAACATTAAAGTTTAACTTTTTAAGAAAAGACAAACAAACCATTGTATTAGTTTGCTAGGGCTGCCAGAACAAAATACCACAGACTGGGTGGCTAAACCAACAAAAATTTCTTACTATTCTGGAGACAAGAAGTCTAAGATCAAGGTGTCAGTAGATGTGGTTTCTTCTGAAGCCTCTCTCCTTGGCTTGTAGATGACTGCCTTCTCACTGTGTCCTCACATGGTCTTTTCCTGTGTGTGCATCCCTGGACTCTTTTTTTGTGCTCCAATTTTCTCTTCTTACAGGGACACCAGACAGACTGGATTAGGGCCCACCCTAAAAGCCTCATTTTAACTTGATCACCTCTTTTAAAGGCTTTGTCTCCAAATATAGTCACATTCTGAGGTACTAGGAGTTTGGACTTCAACATGTGAATTTGAGGAGCAGACAATTAAACCTGTAACAACCATCTATTCTAATGTTCTCATTTCAAAACATTGTTACCAAATACATACTTCTGGGGAGAAATTATTTTATTTTAGGACATTTTAAAAATAGGATACATACTGCAGTTAGTTGAATTATATTAATATTTTTGTACGGGTAACTTAAACCTGAAAAGCTAGTTAGCAAAATGAAAACTCTGTTTTTGTTTCATTAGTCTTCAAAATATTGGGTTGTCGGAAAAGTCATGACGCGTTTTTGCAACAAAAAACAGAAAAAATATGTCATGACTTTTCTGACAACCCAATAGTATTAAATAGTATATTATGTGATTCCTGGAAAACTGTGTTATAGAAGATCTTCTTTAAAGCATATAAAAACCTACAATATCTTAGGATTTTCATTAGTATACAACCCCAAACTAAAAATTTTAGAACTGACTAGCTTCATTTTACATGGGAAGAAGCTCTGAAAAGACCTAATTTTACTGCTTGACCCTGATTGGTTGCTCATGATACTTTTCGTAGAAGATAGTGAATGGTTTATAGTGCTCAGAGGGCAAACTTCACAAAACATAAAAAACAGAATGTCTTAGAATTCTACTTAATGAAGCTTATGTTTGATTAGCTAGCTGTTTTAATTATGATTACAAGTCTTATAGATACAGAAATTCTATTTTTTTTCAAGAACTTGCATATCCTTATAATACAATAGAGAAGAAAACAAACATTAGATTTTAACTGTTGAGCCCTTTTACTTTTTGAGCTTAGAGGTCGACATATTTTTTCTTTTCCTTCACAGCCTGGCTTGCATCTGATTCATCAGCTTCTCCAATTTGATTGCTAGGGACATGTTTCCTTGAATCTTCAGTTTTCCTGACATGAATGCAATTGTTGGTTTTAGTTTACCTAAAGTGAGAAAATGAGAGGGGGAAAAGCATCCATTAGTGCCCTTAGAGATATGCTTCAAGAACATGCATTATAAAAAGAATCTCCTTGAGTTCTATAAACCTCTGAAGCACAGAAATTTCTATTACAGCATTTTTTAAAATCAGTATCTTGGGAATCCCAATTCCTAGACTTAAATGTTAACAATATCTTATGATATGAGAGATAATGTAAAAACAACAATCAGCAAAAAAAAAGCTGAAGATGCAACATGTATATACCAGTTATAGCACTCTCAAGGATACATGGCCCTCAAGTGAATTGAGGGAAACAAATACTATCTATTTTAGTTAATTTTCCAATCTATTATAGTTCATTAAACTTTTAACATTTTAAATTTAAATTTTAAAAATTCAGTGGTGTAGGGCTGGCCGAGTGGCTCAGTTGGTTAAGAGCTCGCTCAAGAGTATGAGCTCTGAGCAACAGCGGTTCGAGTCCTGGCCCAAGCTGAGCTGCCAACAGCTAAAAAAAAGTAAATGGTGTAAATGCATATAATAGCCCTGAGAAATGATCATTAAATGTATAGGTATGGACACAAAAGTATATGTTAGCATTATTTTAGTCACATAAATGGCAAGATATAAAATGTGAACATTAAGACAGAATTATAGCTAATAACAACATATAATAAATAGAAGCTCCATGGAGGGAGGAAACTTTGTTTTTATTTGCAACTTTCATTCCAGGGCTAGTATAGGGTCTGACACACAGTGGAATTAATGAGGAAACTGAGGTTCAGAGAGGATTTTGACTTTCTCAAGGTCACACAGCTTGTATATGATAGTGCTGCAATTCAAAACCAGGTGTGTCTGATTCTCACTTTAGTTTTCTGAGCTATATTATGCCAGTTTATATGTAGGTCATATCTCCAGAAGGCACAGTATGCATCAGGTTCATTAGTAACCTTCCCTGGGCTACACACAGGCTCTTTGTAGAAAAACAAATGTGTGGGATCAATATATTCTGTATACATTGAGATACTAAACACTCTAAATTATTCTGTATAGGAGTTGTAGCAAAACATGATAGATTGGCTACGGATAGAAAGGATCAAGTCCAATTCTTTTATTTTAAAAACAAACTGAGCTGGGCACTATTCAAAGGAAACGTGATGTGAAAATACCTAAATTCAGAAATAACAGATTAAGAGATCATTTTTATTTCCATGGAAGATACTGGAAGATCTTTATTCTTTGAAGGAACAGGACAGCCCCTCCAAAAACTTATAAATACGAATACCTGGATGCCCTTCAGCCAAAAAACTGGCTTCCTGCTGTCATTCTACAGTGAAACCCACCAGTCCACTCATGCATACACAGCTTCCAATCAGCACTATAGAGCCTTGCCTATAAAGATGAATGGACATCAAATGGAAATGGGGGGGGACCCTCCAAAACAAAAATAGGTAAGAGCAATTTGGAGGAAACAGAGACTATAGGCACAAATGAAAATTAAAACAAAGTCAATGAATAACAAAAAAATTCATAATTCATGTCCTCATTGATAAGCTATAACACCAATGTATCAAGAACAGGATGCCCAAGGAGAGGAGAAGCACAGGAAGGAGGGTGACACAGCAAGGGGTAGAAGGGTAGGAGCAGCCAAAAGGGATGGAATTGGGAGAGCCAGGAGGAAGAAGGGGGCAGTAAGAAAAGAAGAAAGAAACAATGATAAAATAAGAGTGAGCTCTTGGAAATTAAAATTTTGATAGTATTAAAATACAATAGAAAGGAGACACTTGCAGATCTTCTGGTCACAGCAGTCAGTCTCTTTATTGCAACACTCTCCCTCCCACTACTGCAAAAGCCTCTCTCCACCCCCCACCTCTACCAGTAGTCTTTTCAAATAAAGTCTCTCACCAGAAAAAAAAAGTAATGGAAAGGAAACAATAAGAAAGTGATTCTTTTTTTTTTTTTAAAGGTGAATCAAACTCCTAAAAAGATGATTAAATCAGCGGTCTAATGTTTTCTCCAGAAAGTGAGAATTTAAAAAACAGAGCTATCGAAGAAATAACATAAGATACATTCCCAAAGAGCCCATTAAGGAAAATAAAAGAAAAAAAAAACAAAAAAGACCACACCGCCTTATATCGTTGTGAAATTTCAGAATACTACAGAGAAAGAGTTCATTTTGATTCCGAAACGTTCAGAAAGGGAAGGGGTAGATATAAAAGATTAAGAAGAATAGTATCAAATTCTCAATGGTAATCTTAGAAGATGGAGCAATGCCTTCAAAATTCTGAGAAAAAATTAATTTCAACCCAGAAATCTCTACTCAGCCAAAAAAATCAATGTGTTGGTAGAATACAAGTAGTTTTTAGAACTCACTAAAATTACCACTGTGATCCTTTCTCATGAAGCTGTTGGAGAATGTGTGCCACCAAAATGAGGATATAAACCAAGAGAGAAGATATGGGATACAGGAAATAGGAGAGTCAATGCAGGGCAGAGTTACAGAAATTTCTAGGATCACTGCTGTGTAGCAGGCTATTATAATGAGCTACCTGTTCAGATTGTAATTCAGATTGTAACAGGAAGACAAAGGGCTCCAAGAAAAAAGTAGACTGACAGGTAATTCGACACATTTGGCAGAGGAAAAAATTGCATCAACAGGTTCTGAGACGAATATAGGAAGATTTTACTTAGTTTCTTTATACCTATTCAATGGAGGAAAAATAGGGCAATTATTTATGTCCAGGAAAAATAAAAATTCTCTCTGACAGGAAACATAATAATAGCAGGCTGTTTGATTCAACAGCAAACAATGCCAGAATTGTAATTACACGAACATAGAGTCTTGATTTAAGCAAAAATGGTGAAATAACTATATTTGGAGGATGGGAAGGGGGAGGTGAAGCAGAATCAAGGTGTTATAAGAGAAGTTAAATCTCACCTATCAGTGTTTAGATTAGTGACTCCAAAGAAAACAGTATAAGTACTATAAATAGTACTTAAATGAGAAAGGTAATAACATTGAAAAATGTGGAGTTAAATATTGAAAGAAACACCAAAAAGACCTGAAGGAAATAACCTCTGCGGAGCAGAAGCCCACAGAAGGCCAAAGAAAATTTAATTTTTAAATATACAAGTACTGTATATGCTTTTAAAAATTGAGGTGAAGTGCACATGACATAAAATTTACCATTTTATTTGTTTATTTTTTCTTTAAAGATTTTATTGGGGAATTGGGGGAAATGAACAGCGGTGGAGAATCGGGGGAAGGGGAACAAACAAGTTGCTGTTGTTTTGTTCTTAAGTTTAGTCGTGGAGGATATTGCTTCACTGGGCCCAAGCTGGCACCATCATTGCACTCTTCCCAGGCGAGGCAGATCCGCCGCCGGCCTCTGGACAGCCGCTCATGCTGGCTGCCAGCTACACACGGTAACTTATGGCAACCCACTGCAGCAGGGGCTGCAGCCTACGCCATTGCCGGTGACTCATGGCAGCCCAGCTCTAGGTCGAGCTGCTGCTCACCATCTTAGCTGCAGAGGGCAGTGTCACTGGCCCTCACATGTGGGATCCGAACCGGGGCCCTCTGGCATCCCAAGCCAGTTCTTTTTTTTTTTTAAAGGTTTTTATTGGGGAATTGGGGGAATGGGAAGTGCTGGGGAATTGGGGGGAAGGGGAACAGACAAGTTGATGTCGTTTTGTTCTTCAGTCTAGTTGTGGAGGATGTTGCTTCACTGGCTCAAGTTGGCA